AGCTTCACTCTAACACCATGTAAATTCCCCCAAATTACCAACTTGCTGACATCTGAAATTGGTGAATCCCTCTGGAATTAAGAACAGGTAAACTGGAATATCATCCGGAGAAGATTGAGCTCTCCTAGCAGGCTTTTGCCATGCCTACTCCCACACTCACTGCTGTCTCCTGTGTTAATTTAGGTGATGGTGATGGACACGTCCGACAGGCCAGGGACATCGCCCACCACGCACCAGTGAGCCATGGTGAGTCTGCATCTGCTGGGGGTTCCACCACCACTGGGCTCACCAAGAGCTCTCAGACAACTCTCCCATGTCCTACACGTGCCCTGGCTCCTGCCAGGAATATGTTGATTTTCTGATGGGCTGCAGAGGTGCCACAGCTACAACCTCGGGGACTGCTACCAGCTGTGTCCTGGGCTCAGTACTTGATGAGGTGCTTTTGCATGGGGAATTTTCCAGATAAAGGTCCAAACTGGAAAGTGATGCTTCATTACTGGGAAGTGGTAATTAGTAATTTTCCTATTTTCACTGCACAGTGGATGAGAAGACTGGATGTGACAGAATTACTGAACTGGCTGGGTCAACATTAACCCATGAGACCAAAGATAGGTCCTGCATGGGTGGGGACAGAGATACTGGGAGTGGAGCAAATTCCTTCCCAGCAGTGTGTAGGTGCATTCAGCTGTTTGTTGTATGAGGTGCAGACATTTTGGAGCATGGAAATCCATAATCAAATCCAACAAGCCAGGAAGTCTCCAAAGAGCTACTTGGGTAAGGCCAGAGAAAACAATGGCTTTGCCCTGTGGAGGTCCAAGAGCTGATTTATTTGTTAGAGATATGGATGTCATGGTCACCCTCTCTCTGGGGAAAGCACTAAACCTCTGTGCTGTACCAGCAAGTGACTTTGTCCCCCAGATTTGCATTTGTCTGTGGTGATACCTCATCTGCATGACACAGGCAAATCACTGAGACTCAGCCCAGCCTGGGTGGGCATCCTTGGTTGACAGTGATCCTGGCTTGGTCTCACCAGACGTTTTCACAGTGTGTTCCCATCAGTTTGCATCCTGTCTTAGGAAGATGTGAAGCTCAACTCTTGTGGTATTCACATACTCTTTGAACAGAGAGAGACATAATTCTGTTTCCCAGGATTTTTCCTGGGGAAGGCAGTGAGAAAGTTCAGAGAGAGAAGGGAATAAAAACAATTCTTTTCCCTACTTGCCGCTCCTGTTGTTTGGCACATGTGGGATGTGTTATGGAGATTGTTTACCAAAAGGGATTTGTTAATTGGACTTTGCTGATGGTTGTTTGGACTGATTGACCAATTGGATCAAAGCTGTGTCATGACTATTGGAAAGGGTCACAGGTTTTTCTTTAGTATAGTATAGTGTGGTATATAGTAGAGTAATAATATAGTCTAATATAATATAGTTTAATAAAGCAGTAGTTCAGCCTTCTGAATCACTGGAGTCAGAGCATGTTACTCCCACGTCGAGGGTGCCCTGATTCGATAAACTCTTACATTAATCATGGCAAGATTTTGATTTACTCCTGTGAGAACAAAAACTGTGTCGTGACTATTGGAAAGGGTCACAGGTTTTCCTTTAGTATAGTATAGTGTGGTATAGAGTATAGTAATAATATAGTCTAATATAATATAGTTTAATAAAGCAATTGCTCTGCCTTCTGAATCACTGGAGTCAGAGCATGTTACTCCCACGTCGAGGGTGCCCTGATTCGATAAACTCTTACATTAATCATGGCAAGATTTTGATTTACTCCTGTGAGAACATGGCAGAAATACAGCCTAGGAATGCGTGTGTAAAAAGATTCAGACACTAAAGAAACACCCCACTTTTAGGGGGATTCAATAACCAGCTCTTGTTTCCAGCCTCAGGGTGGCCCAAGGACTGCAGTGAGATCCCCCGTGGCAGCCACAGCGGCGTGTACATCATCCAGCCCAAAGGGCTCCACCACCTCGTGGTGTACTGCGAGATGAACGTGACCCACGGCGGCTGGACCGTCATCCAGAGGAACCAGAGGGACACCCCTGTCACCTGGGCCGAGGCCTGGAGCACCTACAAGTTTGGCTTTGGGAATGTGCGCACCGAGTATCTTGTTTCCAGCCTCAGGGTGGCCCAAGGACTGCAGTGAGATCCCCCGTGGCAGCCACAGCGGCGTGTACATCATCCAGCCCAAAGGGCTCCACCACCTCGTGGTGTACTGCGAGATGAACGTGACCCACGGCGGCTGGACCGTCATCCAGAGGAACCAGAGGGACACCCCTGTCACCTGGGCCGAGTCCTGGAGCACCTACAAGTTTGGCTTCGGGAACGTGCGCACCGAGTTCTGGCTGGGCACCGAGTACATCCACCAGATTGCCAAGCAGAAGGTCTACCAGGTCAGGTTTGTCATCCAGGACTCCGCAGACAACCTCAGCTTCGCTGACTACAACCTGTTCAGCGTGGAGGACGAGTCCCACGGCTACCGGCTCCGGCTGGGCTCCTACAATGGCACAGCTGGGGATGCCATGACCTCAGACAATCCCAACAACATGCACGACAACATGAAATTCTCCACAAAGGATCAGGATCAGGACACTTACAGTAAGAACTGTGCCTACAGCTATGAGGGAGGGTGGTGGTACTCATCGTGTTACTCCGTGCGGCTGAATTACAAGGGGGGCCTGACATGGGGTGACCTGTGCAAGGGGAACTGCAAATCCTCTCTTATCCTCATCAAACCAGCTTCATATTGTTAGTGCTTCTTCCTCCTCCTGTCCACAGTGGACACTCTGCAAAGGCTCTGCACGGCCAAAGAGTGTGAGCCTCCCTGGAGCAGAGCGAGGAGCACAAGGGTAGCAGGGCTTTAATGAAATGCCACTTCACAGTCCCCCTCTCCAATTGCAGACTCCCCTCTGCTCAGCTCCATTCCCTGTGCTTGCCAATGATTCCTTGTTATTATGTTCATAATCAAGAATTTAAAAAACACTGATGAAGTTTGTGGATTCCACATGAACCTTCCCTGCAGGAGGAAAACACGCAGCCCTGGAGTTACATCAGTTTCCTTGCTGTCTCCAGAACTCACAGAAAGCAATGCCCCAAATTTCCATATACTCTGAGCCTCTCTGCAGTGTTTGATAAGGCATCCAATAAACATGCTTGCTTGAGCTCATTCTTCAGTAATGACATCTGTTCTGTACCTCTGATCTTCTCCCCTGAGACCCGAGAAATCCCATGTCAGGACTGGAATCTTGAGGCTTATCATCATGGAATCACATCCTGGTTTGGGTTAGAAGGGACCTTAAAACCCATCTCATTCCAAACCCCCTGCCATGGGTAGAGACACCTTCCACTAAACCAGGTTACTGAGCCTGGACAGAGAAAGCTTTGAATATTTCTCATGGATGTAAGAAAATTAAACCCAGTTACACTGTGACAAAGGCCCTGTGATCTGCCAGCATGGGGAGGGGATCCCAGAGCAGCTCCAGGATGGATTTGTGTTGGCTGGAAGAGCAGCTCTCCTGTGCCAGGGTCAGAAGCTGGTAGAGGAAGGAACATGGCTGTTAGAGGGGTCCCAGAATTTTTTCTTCTAAGTTTCTGAATCCCTGCAAACATTTCGTGACCCTGTTGCAGCAGTTCCTGATCCCAGTGGGGCAGCCTTCCTCAGGGGACAAAGGGGCCAGGGTGACAGGGTGCCCCAGTGACAGGGTGTCCTGATGACAGGGTACCCCAGTGACAGGGTGCCCCAGTGACAGGGTGTCCCGGTGACAGGGTACCCCAGTGACAGGGTGCCCTAGGGACAGTGTGTCCCAGTGACAGGGTGCCCCAGTGACAGGGTGCCCTAGGGACAGTGTGTCCCAGAGACAAGGGTATCCCGGTTACAGGGCTCCCCAGGGAGAGGGTGTCCCTCAGCTCCCACCTCTCCTGTGCCAGGGGGTGACAGGGCACCAGGCTGTCCCAGGGCGGCGCGGGGCAGTGAGGAGTGAAACCGCGGTGGCGGCAGGAGGGACTCGGTGTGCGGACACCCCCGGAGGGCTGCGGGCTGCACAGCGGGGAGCAGGGTGTGCACAGAGCGGGGTGCAGGATGCACAGAGCGGGGGGCAGGATCCGTGCAGTGGGTGCCCTAGGGACAGTGTGTCCATCTCATTCCAAACCCCCTGCCATGGGTGTCCTGATGACAGGGTACCCCAGTGACAGGGTGCCCTAGGGACAGTGTGTCCCAGAGACAAGGGTATCCCGGTTACAGGGCTCCCCAGGGAGAGGGTGTCCCTCAGCTCCCACCTCTCCTGTGCCAGGGGGTGACAGGGCACCAGGCTGTCCCAGGGCGGCGCGGGGCAGTGAGGAGTGAAACCGCGGTGGCGGCAGGAGGGACTCGGTGTGCGGACACCCCCGGAGGGCTGCGGGCTGCACAGCGGGGAGCAGGGTGTGCACAGAGCGGGGTGCAGGATGCACAGAGCGGGGGGCAGGATCCGTGCAGCGGGGTGCAGGGTGCCCACAGAGGGTGCAGGTTGCCCAGAGCGGGTGCAGGGTGCCTACAGTGGGTGCAGATTTTGCACAGCCGGGAGCAGGGTGCTCACAGCGGGTGCAGGGTGCGCGGAGCAAGAGCAGCGCCCGCGTCTCCGGCCGGGGGCGGCGCGGTGCGGTGCAGGAGAGGTGCGGGAGCGGTGCGGGAGCGGTGCGCTGCGGTGCGGGAGCGGTGCGGGAGCGGTGCGGGAGCGGTGTGCTGCGGTGCGGGAGCGCTGCGGAGCGGGAGCGGTGCGGGGGGGGAAGCGGCGCTGTGCGGGAGCGGTGCGGTGGGGGAGCGGAGCGGTGCGGGAGCGGTGCGGAGCGGGAGCGGTGCGCTGCGGTGCGGGAGCGGTGCAGGAGCGGTGCGGGAGCGGTGCGCTGCGGTGCGGAACGGGAGCGCCCCGCGCTCCGCTGCGGCTCCTTTAAGACCGGCGGAGGCGGCGGGCGCGAGGCGGCGCGCGCGGCTCCCGGCGGCGGGGGCGGGGGTCCCGGTCCCGCCGCCTCGGGGCGCTCAGCACGGCGCAGCTCCGGGCTCTGCTGCAGGACGAGCCGCGGCTGCAGCGCGCCGCCCGCCTCAGCAGGAAGGTACGGCCGGGGCCGGGGGGCCGGGGGCCGCTGTCCCGCCGCCGGCGGGGTCGAGCCGTGCGCCGCTCGCTCCTCGGGGCTGTCCCGGTGCGCAGGGCGGAGCCGCCCGCGGCCCGGGAGCTGGCGCTGCGGGGCCGGTTCCTCCCGCCGGCCCCGGCTCCGCGCCCGCTGCCCTCATCTTGCCCGCAGTCCCGGGGGCTCTGCAGGAGCCGCAGAGCCCACCGGCGGGGCGGGGACCTCCGCCCGGGCATCCCGACCGCGGCTGCGCGGGGCTCCCGGTGCCGAAGCCTCGGGCCACCGCACCCACGGCCACCGAACCCCGTCCGCTGTCCCCGCATCCCGAGATCTGCTGAGGCCCCGGCCCCTCGCCCGCCCTCCAGCCTGGTCTCGTTTTCCGCAGCCGGGATGAGCCCCGCGCTCTCCCGGCTCCGCTGCGGAACGGGCGCAGGTTGTTGTGGAATCGCTCTCGGCCCGATTCCAGCCTCTTCCCTGGGTGGCCCCGAGTGCAGGCGGGGTGTGGGCAGCGAGGGGAGGGTGCGTGTCCCTTCCGTGCCATCCGTGTCCTCCGCCGAGCGCTGTCCCTGCAGAGGGGCCGGGCAGCCGGCGCTGAGATTGCCGCGGTCGGGTTTAGCCAGCCTGCGCCGCCCGGCTCCAGCCGCTGCATTCCCCCGGGATGCACCGCCTTTCCAGGCAAAGCAGAGGGATGGAGACAGTGCAGAAACAGAGGGTGCACCCCCGGATGGACAGTGCCTCCCGGCCAGCAAGGTGCTGGATCTGACTGGTTCTGCCCATTTCTCTCATTGCTGACACACACGGCCCCGATCCCATTCCCACAGTTCCAGAGTCTACAGCTGGAGCGGGAAATGTGTTTGGCTTCAAACTGCACCCAGGCCAAGGTGAATCTGTCCCTGCGCCCACGGCTGGAGGACGGGAAGGCTTCCCTGGCCATCAAGTACCAGGAGCTGCAGGAGATCCGAGAGGCATGTTGGGACAAGCAGCAGCGCCTGGGTGAGTGGGGTGCAGCCTCTGGGCTGAGGCACATCCAGAACAACCCCTGTTAATATGAGGGTCCAGGTGGGCTCAGCATTCTTGACCCTACCCCATGATCAGGAGTGGTGGGGGATGATGCTCCCTGTGACACAGCAAGTCCTTAGCTGGGGCCAGCCATGGAATCACAGAATCATTTGGGTTGGAAGGCACCTTAAAGATCATCTCATTCCATCCTCTGCTGTGGGCAGGGACACCTTCCCTAGACCAGGTTGCTTCAAGCCCAGTCCAACCTGGCCCTGAACAATTACAAGGATGAGGCATCCACAGTTTCTCTGGGCAGCCAGGGTGGGATGGAAGCCGTGGTGTGCAGTTGGCTCCAGGGATGTGTTGGGGGGGGGGGTTTCAGTGTGAGGAGCAGTGATGCTTGAGGATGGGAAATTCAGCAACCCCAGCAGCGGGGATGTCCAGGGGAAGGTTGGCAGCCCCATCCCCTTCTGACACACAGAGGTTTACCTGGAGAAGTGGAGCCCACAGAGCGCCCTGGGCCAGCTCCAAGCCAAGCTTGATGCCTCCGAAGCAGAGTCAGAGGTGAGTTCACTGTGCTGTTGTCCCTTCCTTACCAGGGCCACAGGGTGCTCTCCATGCCCTCTCATGTGCTAGGGCCTGCAGAAGAGCCCAGGGTCCAAGGGGTGCTCCTTCTAGTCCCACTGCCCACCCCACAGGCACAGATAAAGCAGTTCCTGGCCCAGGATCTGCCCCTCGAGTCCTTTCTGGAGTCCTTCTGCCAGAGCCGCACACGCTCCCACGTCTGCCGGACACAGCTGGAGAAGCTGCAGGAGCTGCTGCAGAAGGACCAGGTGCAGAAGGACCAGGTGGGCAGGGACCCCGTGGGCCCTGCGGGGTGCCCAGGTGCCCCAGCTAGCACGGCACCAGCCCGCCTTGCCCCCTTGCAGAGTGCAGTAGCCCCCAAAGCCTTTGACCTGTCCTACGGCTTTGTGCCTGCCTTCCTCGTCCCCTCGGAGGCTGCTGTGCCCTTTCCCGTGCCGGCTGCACCTCCCAAGCACCATCTGCCAGCCCTGGGACAGCAGCCAGCATCTCCCTGCTCCGAAGTGCCCAGCCTGGGCTCCCCCCTGCGCCTCGTTGGACACATCCCCGTGCTCAGCCCCCAGCCCGGCCGCGGGCAGCAGCAGCACCGGGAGCAGGAGCCTCCGCACCGGTAGCGGGGCAGGCGGCCACGGCCCTGCTCCCGCACCCCCCGGGGGCTGGGCAGCAACACCGAGGGGTGGGGGTCCTGTAGGCACAGCTCCCAAGGGTCTGTGGGCAGGCACATGGGGTGCTCACAGAGGGATGGAGGTACGTGGTGGGGCAGGTGCCATGGGGGGTCCTGCATTTGGGGAGCTGCTGGGGGGAGGTCTCTGCATCCACAGCAGGAGGAACGGGACAGGAAGTGGGGGTGGGTGGCTCATAGGGATGTCAGTGGGCTTAACTGGGAGGGATAGCAGGGAAAAGGCACAGGAGCACTGGGTGTGCCACATGCTTCCTAAATAAAGCCTCTTTCCATGCTGTGTGTGCTCTTTCTGTGCTCTGCACTTTGGCTCTGGCTATGGACAGCAGGATGAGACAGGCAGGGAGGAGAGGGTTACCAGGGAGCAGTTGCCAGGTTTGGAGGTGACTGGCAGCCAAGGAGAGCCCTCCAGGCTGACGAACCCCCAGACCTTTCCTTTGCACTTGGCTCAGGACATCACTTCCCTGGGGAAGCTCAGGACATCACTTCCCTGGGGAAGTTGAGAGCTCCTGCAGGGGGTGCAGAGCCTGCCTTGAGTGTGTGTTTCCCTCAAGAGAGGTGCCAAGGACCAGTCTGTCCCTGCACATGGGGAAGGTTTTTGGTGCCCAGCATGCCTCATGCCAGCAGCAAAGCCCTCACCCCACGGAGGGTTATACCCTGTGGCCAGCTGGACTTGCTCACAGCTTGGCAGCCACTGGTCACATCAGCCTGTACTTGTGTTCACCTTTCTCATCCCCTCGGGGGCCATTGTGCCCTTTGTCATTCCTTACCCACCTCCCCCATTCCACCAGCCTTCACTGGAAAAGGTGGCAGGAGGCCTGAGCTCTCAGCCCCTTCCATCCCAGGCTCTTCTGTTCCTTTCCTTGGTGTCACACAATGGATGGTGAGTCCAAGGGGTGGTGTTCCCCATCCCCCAGGGGACAGCCTGGTTCCTCCAGCTGCAGCCTCCTGGGGTGCTTGTTTCCTGCTGTGGCATGTCCATTGTGCTGGTTTCAGCTTTTGGGTTGGTTTCAGACTCTTCTGGTGCTCTCAGAGCCTGTCTGGCAGTATCGTTCTTTTCCTCTTTCCCAGCTGCCTGCCCTCACCTGCATCTTGCCACTGCTATGTAGACTGCTTGGAAATCATCCCAGGCAGCAGAAGGCCCTGGCTCAGGCTACAAACCACTCCAAAATACAGGTCATTAGCTTGCAGTGTCTGATCACCCTCCCCCACTGAGACTACCTGCCCTTATGCCAATCTTCAGCCCTCATTTATGGCTAATATTCCAGTATTACCAGTTAAAGCAAGTTTAAAACTAGGATCAATAGGGGACCAGCCACTGTGCCTTTACTGGCGTGTGAGGAGGTGGTAGTCACTGGAATATCTGGAGTTTCACAAAGCACCTGCTGCTTTCCTGAGTCCCACTTTGGGCTCAGCCTGGCAATGAAAGGCCTGTTTACCAGCCAGGCTCTGTGCTCACCTGCCTGGGCTGAGCCCCAGCCACAGGCAGTGCTGGTGGGCTGTCACTGCCCTGCCACAGGGGACCAGGCACAGCACTGAGGCATGAGATGGTGCACCAAAGCCACCCAAAAACTAGCCAGACCACCCAGTGCACCTCCCCAGGCAGTGCCTGCCCTGCACAGCTCCCCAGGGCTGGCAGCCCCAGGCTGGGTGGGTCTGCCACAGGACAAACTTCCCTGGCCCTGTGCAGCTCCTGAGTCACCCCAGTGGCCCCATGGATGGGGACCCAGGGTGAGCAGCTGCCCCTGCAGCCTGGGCAAGGTGAGTGTGTCCTGTGAGAGCTGCAGCACTAGAAGTGACAGTGTGAGCACCAAGGTAAGCTGTGCTGCCATGGTCTAGCTGTCTGTCAGTCCATAGGAGCCCTGCAGCACCCCAGGAAGTTCAGGAAGGACTGGGCAGGCTCTGGCAACCCCACGGTCCTGCTGGGCTGGCCACCACCCTGCATCAGGGGGGAGGACCTTGGGATCCTTTGGGAAGCTGCCAAACCAGGCGAGCCCCTGCCCTGGGGAGGTTCCTGCCACCCTGCAGCTGGTCCTGTCCAGCTTGGGGCACACACTGGCTGGCCCCAGTGGGTGGCTGGATACCCCAGCTGTGATGATCCTGGCACCCTGTATCCCTGGGGATTGAGGGGTGTCTCCCTGCCCATTGGCACCGACTGCTCCAGGCCTCCACAGGCCAGCTGGGACTGGGGACACAGGGCAGGCTGGGACATTGGCTCACAGGCAGAGGCTGACAGCAGACAGGGTGACCCCCTCTGCCCCTCCTGCCTGCCCTGTGGCTCTCCCTGCCTGCCCCTGCCTTGCAGGATGGAGTCAAGGAGGGTAAAGGTGCTCCTGCTCACCCAGGGGAGGAGGAGGAGGAGAGGTTGCCACTGGGTGTGCACCTGCATTCATTTCTGCCAGCTGCTGTGCAGCCAGAGCTGGGCAGGGAGCTGGGGGTGCCCCCCATGCCTGGCTCCAGGCTGGAAAAGGAGCAGCCCCCAACCCAGGAGAGGGATAACAGCTGGGAGAAGAGAGGTGCCCCCCACTCCCCCGGGAAATCCCCTGAGCCACAACCCCCAGGCAATGGGGTGCCAAAGGGGTACAAACCTGGACTGGGACCAGCCAGGAAGGGGGTGCCAGTGTGCCCCAGCTGGGGCCCCTGGAGCAGGCACGGGGCTGCTGAGGGAGGTGTGTTAACAATTAACTCTGTTAACCAAGGAGCGGCCTCAGGGGATGCTGCAGAAGGGAGGGGGAGCTGCCAACCGTAGCAGCCCTTCCCGGGAGGGCAGAGCCTGCAGCAGCAGGAGCGGGGTGCAGAGCTCTGCCCACACAGGTGAGGGCTGGGGCTGTACCAGGGGCTGTCCCCTCACCCCCATCCCTGCCAGGCCAGCCCTTTTGGGGGGTGGAGGCTGATGGCCACCCCTCACTGCTGCTCAGGACTCCCCAGCCTGCAGCTCCCGGTTCCTGCCCCTCATGTCCCCAGCCCAGCTGGCACAATCAAAGATCTGCCAGCAGCCAGGTTTGACCCCTTCCTTTCCAAAGAGCAGGCCAGCTCTAGGAGGAGGCCCTGATGAAGCACTGAGACCCCACACTCCCAGGCTGCAGCACCCACCAGCTGAGGGGGGCAGCTCAGCACCCCAAACCTGCAGTTATGGGGAGGTCAGCCCATGAAAAGGGGCTGGGGTAGGGGTGCGGAGTGGGGTCTGCACTGAGCTTGGAGGGCCTCAGCACTGGGGCCATCAGGCTCCATCCAGCTTGTCTAAGTTTCCCTGTGGAGCCTTAGAATTCCTTAGCTTGCCACAGCATCCAATTCCCAAGTGGCTTTTAACTACTCAGATTTTGGTGCTTCCCTTTGATGCCTGCTGTCAGTGATTTAAGGGTGGGAATGAGCAACACCAAAACAACTCCTGGGGTGAAGGTACAGGGCAGAGCAGTGCAGGCCTGGATGGGTGGGCATGGGATGATGGCCGAGGCCCCACCAGCAACTCATCCTTGGACAAATGTCACCCTTTTGGTGACACACAGCTGGCAAAACCCGGTGCAAAGGACAAGAGAGCAAAAGACAAGCATCCAACACGGTCACATACATCACGTGCAGGCAAGTGAAATGGGAAGACAGGGTGTGAGGGGTAGGATGTGCTAGAATATCTGTAAAAATGGCCCCAGGGGGCTGGAGACTGAGGAGGAAGAAATCCCTGCTGTGAACACCACACTCCTCCCAGCAAAGACCTCATGGTGAAGTCCCCAGCTGAAAGTGCCACCTCACCCTGCCCACGAGGGGCTGTGGACAGCTCAGCTGCTGCTGCAGTCTGCTGCTGAGCTGTGCTGCAGGGACTGGACACAGGGATACATCCCCAAAGCAGGAAAAGGAGCTGGGAGTAGAAGCTGTTCTCTGCTGTGACCCTGCTGAGGGCTGCCTTGCCCCAGCTGCAGGAAGGGGGGCTCCTCTTCTCAGGAACAACCCTCTGTGTGTCAGTGTCCCCAGGGACGCATCCTGGTTCCTCAGATGTAAAGGGAATTACTGAGCCTTATCCTCTGCTGATCTTCCAACCCTGTACAGCTCACAGCCCTGCCACCTCACACTCCTGGCACCCACACAGCCTGTGCTCCCCTGGCTAAAGGACAGCAGCAGGAAACCCAGCTCTCCTGGCACCTCTCCATCAAGGAAACAACTGGGGAACAGCAAGAATACCATGACACTGTTGACACGAGCAGAAAAAGGGGCAGAACAGTGCTGTGCTGGGAGCTGGGAGGCAGGCTCTGCATTTGGAGCAGCTCCAGCCGCTTGCTGCCCAAGCTCCTGAAATCCTTCCCAGAGCAGAGGAGCAGTCAGGCCTGACGAGGGTAAAGGTGACACTGGAGAGTTCAGGGCACCCTCCCCTGTCCAGGCAGCAGCTCAGGGGATGTCACCAGGGCACAGCCACCCCTGGGTGTCAGGCAGCACACAACAGGAGAACCAGAGAGGCCACCCTGCCCTGCTGACTGCACAGTGCCTGCCCACCCTTCCCAGCAAGGGAGACAGAGCTCCCCTCCCTCCTCTTCACTGGCTGAAGTGAGGATGTGAAACACCTGCCTGCCCCTCACCCCTGTTTTCCAGCAAGTGCAAGGAGTATTTACCACCCAGGCCCACCAAAAAGAAAGATGTGTCATTTTGTCACCAATTTATGGCTGGATGTCTTTAATCTTCAAGGTATATCATGGAGACTTGAGGAAGAGGAAGAGTAGCCAGCAGCAGGGACTGCCAAACCCGTTTGGGTGGGAGCCAGAGAAGAGCTCCCTAGTGCCACGGACACTGCTGGCTTTTCCAGCCTGGAAAGTAATGCCTCCTGCCAAATTCTGCCCAAAAACTACCTCTGATCTTCTCAGTGATTTGCTTTACAGAATGAAGATGAGCATGAAAGTGCATCAGCAGGTGCCAGAGCCACAGCTCCAGAGCTCCCCTCTGCAGCAGGGCACGCCAGGCTCCTGTGTGTCCCACTGTGACATCCCAGAGCTGTGATCCCGGGTGAAGGGACAGACTGGCACCCAGTGAGGATCCTGGAAAGCTCACTGCCCCTGGGCTGAGCTCAGTCCAAGCACGCAGCAGCCTCTAGTGAGCAGCTGGAGGTGGCACAAGCTTGTGAGAGCAGGCAGGGAGCAATCCTGCACAAGCAGCAGGCACGGTGTCCCTGCTGTGCCACTGCCCAGCTCTGAGCAGGATCACAGAAATCCACAGTGCAAACACAGGGCATTCACTGTAACATTCTTGTGCTGGGACAAAACACAGCCCAGGGTCTGGGGGATGAGGGAACAAGGGTTGGCTGCTGCTCACCCCACTGACAGCAAACCCAGTGTCCCACACAGTCCTTGGCACACTCAGGCCATGGCCAGGAAGCTTCTCTCCCTCCAGGCAGCAGCAGCACAGCACACGTGAACCTCCACCCAAGGAGAGAGAAAAGGCTCTGAGAAACACAATCTTTAGTTCTTAAAACACTTCAGCATTTAAATAGGCAAGTCTCTTGTGCAAATGATGCTCAGACACATGTAAGACACAGAGAACAGCACTGGGTGCTCACAGGTGCACCACAGCCAGACCCTCAGAGGGAGGGGTGGTGTAAAGCTCCTGGCAGGACAGAGGGCTGCAGACACCAAAGTGCTGCCACACAGCTCAGGCAGTGTCACACACTGAGCAGGCCACGGGCTCAGGTTTCAGGTCTGATCTAAGACTCCTGTACTGCCACTCTGAGCAGGGTGATGCAGCTGGGACATCAGGAGCTCCCAGGAGAGGTGGTACCAGCAGGTGTGACAGCACAGGCCTGGCAGCAGCAGCAACCAGAGGCACAGCTGAGCACACACAGCACCTCTGACAGCCTTTAACCTCTGCAGGCACAGGGCACAGCACAGCCACACAGCTGTGCCAAGGAGGGGACACGTCCCAGTCCAGAGTCCAGAACTGTGTTCACTTGCCAGGCCTGTGCAGGTGCTGTTGGCTGAGGGGCACAGCAAGAGCCTGCAGAGCTCCTGCACCACCCCTGCAAGGTCACCCTGAGTGGCCTGGCCCAGGCTGTGCCCCCGAGGGCACCCAGAGGGCACATCCTGTGCCAGCCATCCTGCGTGTCTGAAGGTCACGCTGCCACAGGGGCCAGCTCTCAGCCTGTCAAGCCTGCTGGCCATTTCCCGAGCCTGAAGGTCACACTGGCAGGGTGCAATGTCACAGCCCCAACAGCGGATCCAGGCCGGTGACACTGTGCAGCCGGGGGGACACCCCGGGGGCTGCCCAGCCCCAGCACCGCCCCGCTGTCACTTGAGGCCGTAGATGAGAGCAACCCCCAGGAAGAAGAGCAGCCCGATGGAGAGATCGGAGAGGGCCCGAAGGCGTCCCTGTGCCGCGGACTCCTCCCGCCGGAGGCGCAGCTGCTCCCGCCGCGCCCGCAGCAGCTGCTCCCGCTGCAGCTGCTCCCCGTAGTGCGCGCGGTAGAAGGCGTCGAAGTCGAAGGGTGTCGGGACGGGCCCCGGGCGGGCGGGGGAGGCGCGGGCCGGCGGCGAGGCGGCGGCGGCGGGGCGGGCCGAGGGCCGGGGCGCGTCGCGCAGCTCCTCGGCGCTCAGCAGCCCGCGGTCGTACTTGCGGCGGAGCGCGGCGCTGCCCAGCACCCGGTACGCCTCGCTGACGGCGGCGAAGCGGGCGGCCGCGGCCGCGCTGCCGGCGTTGCGGTCGGGGTGGTAGCGGAAGGACTTCTCGTAGTACGCCGTCTTGATCTGCGCCGCCGTCGCCGTGGACGGGACACCCAGCACCTCGTAGAGATCGCGGCGCGACCGCGGGGCTCCAGCACCGCCCGTCTGCGCGGCCCGGGACGGCGGCGGGGCGCAGCCGGGCCGCGGGGCCGCGGGGAGGAGCCGCCGCAGCCGCCCGAGCAGCGCCGGGCCCATGGCGGCCTCAGCGCCCGCCCGCCGCCATGACGAGCGTGCGGCGCGGAGAAATGACGCCACCCCAGGCGGAGAAGTGACGTCTGCAGACACAGCGGCCGGCGGGCACGGCGCGGTCGCCGGGCAGTGACGTCACGCAGGCGCAGCATGGCGGGCAGCGGCCGCCGGCCCGAGCACCGCGGGCCGCCCGAGCTGGTGAGGGACCGGGCACGGCTGGGGGGGACCGGGCACGGCCGGGGGGACCGGGCCTGGCTGGGGGGGACCGGGCCTCACCGCGCCCGCCGCTCTCTCGTTACAGTTCTACGATGAGGCCGAGGCGCGGAAGTACACCCAGAAGTACGGCGGGACCGGCGCTGCGGGGCCGAGCGCGGCCTGTCGTGGGGCGGGGAGGGGTCTCGCGTGGGGCGGGCATCGGGCGGAACCACCGCGGGTGTGTTGGTCCTGGATCCTGCCGGGAGCCGTGGGGGCCTGGGGGTCCGTGAGGCCTGGGGGTCCGGCAGCGGCGGGAGGGAGGCCAGGGTCGGGTCCTGCCGCGGGGCGATGCTCGGGTCCTGCCGCGGGGCGGGGCGGTTCCGGTCCCGCAGTGCCGGGGATGTCGCCCACGCTCTGCTCTGTGCCTCAGCTCCCGCGTGGTGGAGATCCAGTCGCAGATGTCGGAGCGGGCGGTGGAGCTGCTGGGGCTGCCCGAGGACCGCGCGTGCCTCCTCCTGGACGTGGGGTGAGCGGGGCTCTGCCCGGGCTGTGGCACGTCTGGGGCTGGAGGGGTGCACGGGCCAGGGGGTGGTGGCCGTGTCCCGGTGTCTTTTGTGGGCCGAATAGGAGGGGCAGGCTGCTGTGATGCTGGGTGTGCGTGGCCAGCACAGCCTCAGAGCAGCCTCGCGACCCCAGCACTTTCCCCCTTCCTCCTTCTAGCTGTGGCTCAGGGCTGAGTGGGGATTACATCTCTGAGGAGGGTCACTACTGGATTGGCATGGACATCAGCCCTGCCATGCTGGGTGAGCACAACCTCCCCTGAGACCCTCAGAGGCCCCTGGGGTGGGAGCTGACTGCCTGAGCTGTGCTGTGTTCTGTGCAGATGTGGCCGTGGAGAGGGAGGTGGAAGGAGACCTGCTCCTTGCAGATGTGGGGCACGGCATCCCCTTCAGGCCTGGCATGTTTGATGGCTGTATCAGGTGAGTCTGTGCTGTAGCTGAGCTCTCCTGACACCCCCAGAACTGCTCAGTACCCATGGTGCACACCTGGTAAATCACAGGTGAGAGGGACTGGCCGTGTCAGCCTCTCTCTTTGCACCTTGGCTCCATCACTCCTCCAAAGCACAAACCTCCAAAGTTCTGGGTGGTAGAAACAGCTTGTGACAGCTGTTTGCCAAGTGATGCTTGTCCCTTGGTGCTGCTGAGCTAGGAATTTTGTTGAAGGGAAGAAAGTAAAGCTGGGGATATTGTCAGGGTGGCTGAGACCTGCTCCAAGGAGGAGAACAAAGTATAAAGTGGCTTAGAGAAGGCAGTCCCTGGAGCAAGGTTTGATGCTTGGCTTTAGGATGGAGGGGACAGAGTGACTTAGGTGCTCAGAGAACAGCTGGGAACAAGCAAGGGCTGTCCATTGCTGAGCCAAAAGCTCTGGCTTCAATTGCTCTGTGGGAAAACCTGCTTGGCCAGGCAAGGGACACAGCTCAGCTCTCCAGTGCTGCTCAGGAGCTGTAATGCTTGGAGCAGGAGTAACGGCTTCAGGCTGAAAGGGGGAAAATTCAGGTGAGATACAGAGAAGAAATCCTTCCCTGTGAGGGTGGTGAGGCCTCCAGGGTGCCCAGAGCAGCTGTGGCTGCCCCATCCCTGGATCCATCCAAGGCCAGGTTGGACAGAGCTTACAGCAACCTGGTCTAGTGGGAGGTGTTCCTGCCCTTGGCAAGGGCTGGAACAAGCTGAGCTTTAAGGTCCCTTCCAACCCAAAGCATTCTGTCATTCTGGGATTTGAGCCCTTGGACTAAAGTGGATGCTTGGTGCTGCTTCTGTCCTTTAGCTTATGCACCTTGTTAAGTTTTGTGAGTCTCCAGAGGGGTTTGTGTAGCTGTGAAACAGAAGGCAAAGCAACAGAGGAAATTAAATTATTTCCCTGAGGCCCAGCACACGCTTAGAGCAAGAATTCAGCTCAAAAGGAGGTGGCAAGCTCTGTGAAGGAACCAATGACTCTATCCTGGGGTTCTTATTTTCCTTCTCAGTATTTCTGCAGTGCAGTGGCTCTGTAATGCTGACAAGAAGTCACACAGCCCCCCCAAACGCCTCTACAGATTCTTCTCCACTCTTTACACTGCCCTGGTAAGTGCCACCCTCCACCAGCCAAGTCTCTGCTGCTCTTATGGCTTTGCTTTTTAGCAGGATACTTCAAGTCAGGTTGTTTTAAGTAAATGCTGCTCTGAGGCAGGGCTGGCAGGAGCAGCCACTGCTGCCTTCTTGCCTGGTGCTGCTTCTCATCAGGGTTGGACTTGGTAGTGTTGGTGGTGTTTTCCAAACCTAGCAGTTCATGGTTCTGGGATAGCTGGTGTTCCCCCTGTGCCTCACTGGCTCTGTGGGCTGAGCAGCTCTCCTGGGAGCCCTGTCTTGGAGGTTTTGGGGAGGAGGGAGCTCGTGTCTGGGGCTGGGGTGGGTGACCCAGAGGGGTTACCTGCTCTGGGGCAGGTGTGTGATCAGCTCTGTTTCCTGCAGGCCCGAGGATCCCGAGCTGTGCTGCAGCTGTACCCTGAGAACTCAGAGCAGGTACAGCCCATCACTCAGCTGGGAGGGGTGCAGGCAGAGAAACCATTCACTGTTTGCATCGTGTTCTTCCACATCAAGGCAGTGTCTCTGTCCCTCCTGCCACTTCTAAAGCTCTTCAGGAGCCCAAAAAATAACCTGTGAGGAGGATACCTTGTGCAGGTTCTGTTGTTTCATAGATTGTCTTGGGCTGAGCCTTAAAATTAAAGTGGGGGGACAGGATGTGAGTGTGGGTTTGAAGACTGGCTTAACTCAGGTCTGGAAAATCCAGCCCAGTATCCTCTCCTGGAGAGTCTGCTGTGCCAGCTACCCCAGCTAGACTGAGGAGCAGGGAGAACCAGCAAAGGCAGGGAATTGGTGTCTGGATGGGACTGCAGGACCAGGAGATAGCTGCAGAGCTCAGCAGGAGGAGGCAGTCCCTCTTGGGAATGCCCAGCCAGGGATGTGCTCCCAGAGGCCTCTTGGGCTTTCCTGAGGGATGACTGCTCATTAACTTTGCACCTGCTGCTTTTCCCAGCTGGAGCTCATCACTGCCCAAGCCATGAGAGCTGGATTTACAGGGGGAATGGTGGTGGATTACCCCAACAGTGCCAAAGCCAAGAAGTGAGTCCTGGATCTCTGTCTATGTTTGGGGTGAGGCCCAGATTTAGCAGTGGTGGTTTGTTTTCGGGGTTTTTTTTGGTTTTTTTTGTTGATTGTGGGTTTGTTTTGGGTATTTTGTTTGTTTGGTTGTGGGGTTTTTTTTTGTTTTTGTTTTTTGTTGTTTTGTTTTTTTTTTTTTTTTTTTTTTTTTGGTTTTTTTTTTTGTGGGGTTTTTTTTTTCTGCGTTGATTGTGGGTTTGTTTTGGGTATTTTTGTTGGTTTTGTTTGTTTGTTTGTTTTTTTGTTTTTTGGGTTGTTGTTGTTTTTTGGGGGGTTTTGTTTGTTTGTTTTTTTGTTTTGTTTTTGGTTTTGTTTGGTTTTTTTTGTGTGTGTGTGTGTTTGTTTCCTGAGCTGTTCTCTCTTCCATTATACAGTTCTGGACAGAGGTTAAAGCTCAGATCTGACTCTGTTATAAAGCATCTCAGTCTTGCCTGGGAACTGAGACTCACATGCTGAATCCCATGTTCATGCTCCTTATTCTTGTTCTTTCAGGTTCTTCCTCTGTCTCTTTGTTGGGACATCTGGCACATTACCAAAGGTGAGGGCCTCCATGAGGCAGCAGAGCTGCTGTCCTGGGTGATGTGGAGGAGCTGTGGGCAGTGTGGGAGCCAAACAGCTCTGGGAGTGCAGATGTGGCTTCATTTGTACATTTTCTGCCAGTCACCAAGCCCTGCTCTCACATCATCACAGACTGGTTTGGGTTGGAAGGGACCTTCCAGCTCATCTTGTTCCAAACCCTTCCCATGGCAGGGACACCTTCCACTATCCCAGGTTGCTCCAAGCTCTGTCCAACCTGGCCTCGGACACTTCCAGGGATGGGACAGCCACAGCTTCTCTGGGCACCCTGGGCCAGGGCCTCACCACCCTCACAGGGTGTTCCCATATCCAATCTAACCCTTCCCTCTTTAAAGCTGTTCTTCTGACATCTGCCTTTTTTTGCCATGATTTCTGGAAGACCAGTTTGTTCCTGCTCTGGTCCTTCCCCTTGCAGATCCCTGCATTCCCCTTAGTTTTGATGGGCTGTGCCTGGTCCAGAGGAGAACACAACTTCCCAATTTTGCTTTCCAGGGCCTTGGTACCGAGTGTGCCAGTGAAGAGCTGCACCAGGCAAAGTTCACCAACGAGAGGTATCGTGTGGGGGTGAGGCTGCAAGTTCTCCCTGCAAAGAGAGGGGGCCTTGGAAGGCTGAGCTTTACTGGGGACCACACTGCTGCTGTGGGAGACTCAGTGGGAGGGGAAGGACAGGGAGGGCTCACAGCAGCCCAGGGGAGAACTGCTTTATCTTCCCAAGGGCCTGGACACAGGGAACAAAACTGTTAGTTCCCAGGGCTCTTCCATGGGGCTGTAGGTGCTTACCCTGAGCAGTCAGTCAGCTGTGCTTTCTGTCCTGCACTGGGCTCTCCAGCTGATGCCAGTGGTGTGGCAGAGGGAATGTTTACAGGGCTTGTGATGGAGCCATGGAGGCAGGCTGCAGTGCCTGAGTTCTGGCATTCCCTTTTTTCTCCTGTCCAGGTCTTAGCTGTGGCCTGGGGATTTCTGCTGCTGGGCCTGTCTCTTCCCACAGCAGTGGTGCAGGGAGGAGCCCCTCTTGCAGCCATTGGGAGAGACAGAACAAAAACCAGAGGAAAGTTGTCATGGCTGCCAGGAGCTTGTGGCTGCCATGTTTTCCTGCCTCTCACACTGTTGTTCTCTGCTCAGTCTAAGGGCAGTCTGGTCTGGGAGGGCAGTAGCAGAGCTGGGAACACTGTAGGAAGCCTGACTTTGTCTGCCTTGTTTGGAGTAGAGCAGCCAAGGAGAAGGTGGTTGTGCATGAGCCTGTAATGCTCTGAGATCCCAGAGAGCAGCATGCTGCTGGTGTGACACGGGGTATGGCCTGAGGGAGTTCATGGGTCAGGATCCCTCAGCTCCCAGCCAGGGCTGGAATCAGCCTCCTCCTTATCCTTATCCTCCTCCTCCTCCTCTTCCAGTGTGTCTGGAGTTTGGCCACCTGCCCTAGTGCTGCCTGAGCCTCTTGCCCAGGGTGGTGGCAGGGAAAGTCACTACTTCTGTGAGCCAGTTCTGGGTGACAATCCTCTGGGGCAGAGAAATGTGCCCCCACACCTCAGTTCCTCTCCAGCTGCTGTCCACTCTCCCCACAGGACACGGTTCAGGAACATCAAGGGCAAGTCCGTGAAGAAAAGCCGGGACTGGATCCTGGAGAAGAAGGAGCGCAGACGACGCCAGGGCAAGTGAGTCCAGCTGAGTCCTGCCTCAGAGGCTGGGCTGGCCTGCTGTCACCTGCCCAACGTCCTGCCACAAACCTGCTCCCTTCCCCTTCCCCTCCCGAGGTGCCCTGCAGGTGGTGCTGAGCTGTTCCCTGCTTTTCCCACAGGGAGGTGCGAGCAGACACGAAATACACAGGGCGGAAGCGCCGTCCTCGCTTCTGAGCTGCTCTGGACACTGCTGCCATGGAAGGTGGCATGTGGGTGCCTCCAGAGAGCCTCCTGTGGATGGCACAGATGGCACCCCATGCCTGGGGACTTGCTGGGACTGGTCATTGTGGCTCTTAAAGGTACAAACTGGCTCAGGTGCTGCCATACAGCAAAGCTTCCAGCTCTGTTTCCCTGGTGAAGGTGCAGACTGGGCAGTGCTCTGCAGTGCCATCACTTACCTTTGTGAGTGCAGTGAGCCAGCTGAGCTCCAGGTAAGCCTGGATGTGATATCCAGTTCCTCACTAAAGAATCAAAGAGTTGGAAGTGTTTGCTGGTGTCCTGTGTCCTGCCCTTGGTGCTGGGAGTACTGAGGTAGGAATAGGGCACCTCATTCCCTGCCAGCCTCCCCTCTGCCTGCAGAGGATCCATGCTGTCAAGGCGGGGATCCATGAGGACAAAGTTGCTCCTGACTCCAAGTGTTATGCCAGTAGCTATTTGCTCCTGTTGGTGCTTAGCACCAAGCCCACCCTGTTTGCTTTAGTGCTTCCAGAGTGCTGGAGCTGACTGGACCCCCCATCACCTCTTCCCTTCCCTTGAAACAAGGAGAGGTGCCACCCAGAGCTTTACAGTTACAAATGTTTATTCTACATAAAAATTCCACAAAATGGGAAGCTGTTTTGCACCCAAAGCCTTGGGAGAAGAAAGGAATGCTAGCAGGAAGGGAAAGAGGGAAGGAGAAGAGAGGCAACATACAGTGTCATCCAGCCCAGTGAGACAGAGCAAGCCAGGGTCAAGATCCACATAGAAAACAAGGACACTTAGCTCACAGTACAGCAACAGTAGAACTCCACGGGGGGCTCGGAAAGCCTTCAAGTGCATTAATTAAAAAAAAAAAAAAAAAAAAACCAATCCCCAGTTCGAGTGCAAGCTGTGCGTGCCCCACACTGCTCATGGAATACTGCATCAACACGCTCCCGGCGTGGGGAGGGCAGGTGGCACTTGGAACAGAGGAGGTGGAACCCAAAGGACAAGCGGGTGCAGGTCGGGGGCTGGAAAGAAAAGGTGAAACGTCTTCCCAAAGCACAACCACACTTGGTGATTTGGTCTGTACATGCAACGACAGGTAGGTGAAAAGGAACTCAATGGGGCTTCCCGTAGTGCAGGGGTAATTATTGCACCAAAACACCCTCCCCTCACAGCGAGGACAGTGTGAGCCTGCCTGTGGGGCAGCAGTGGCAGCCTGCTCCTCATCTCCCTGGCTTTGGAGCCCAGCACTGCTGCTGCCCTCAGGATCCCAGCAAAGTGCCAGTGGCCCTGACTGGCCCCATCTGACTCCTGCTGCTCTGGGGGCTGCTGGCAGTGGTGGTGCCAACAAGGAGCAAGGGCCAAGAACCCCCCCGGAGGCAGTTCCTGGCCTTGTGCCTTGACAGGGGTGCCACAGCCCTGATGTCAGGTGAGCTTGTGCCACTAAAGCCGCTGCCTGGAAGAAAAAAAAGTCACCTTGTGCTAGCAGTTGGCATGGCTGCAGGGCAGGAGCATGGCTGCAGGGCAGCAGCCTGGGAGGAGGGTTTTCCTGCCTGCCCAGTGTTATTGCTTCCTGGAGGGGCCCTGGGGCTCTTGCTGGCCTGGCAGAGTAAGCATGGACGGCAGTGGCAGGGAGCTGCTGAGGGACCAGAAGCATGGCCACTCCCTTCTCCTGCAGCCAGACGTCCCCCTGGAGCAGAGACCCTGCCCTTGCCTGCCTCCTAGCCCTGCCTGCGTGGTCCTGGTGCCCCAAGCCCTTCAGTGCATGCAGGCTGCAGTGCTGGAGCTCACATCGGTGCTGTGGGACTGTGAAGGAAGGGGGCTCTGGTCTGGGGTGTTCCCATGGCTGCAGCCCGAGGGGCTGGGACTGGGCAGAGTGGGGAGCCAGGCTGGACCCGCTTCCCAAGGGCAGCTGCATGCAGCAAGGGGCTCTGCGGGGGGACCTTGGGTGACAGTGGCAGAGAAGCTGTGCCAGGGCTGCTGCTGGGCTGGCCCTGGGGCAGGCAGCACTCTGGCTGCAGCCACTGCCTTTCCCCTGTACCCAGGGGCACCACACACAGCCAGTGCCTGAGCCACAGCACCCTGCCAGCGTGTGGAGCAGCCCTGCCCTGGTGCTGGTGGGAGCTGGGAGGTGATGCTGCCCGAGGCTGGAATACTGGCTGCCATCCAGTGTCCCTTTTCTGCTACCAGCACCTGACAGCCAGCCCCTGTCCCAGAGTGGCAGTGGGTCCTACCTTGGGACTATGGTGCTTTGGCATGTGCACAGGCCAGCCAGAGCCCTGAGGTCTCCAGAGGAAGGTGAGGGCAGAGCCCTGTCCCTAGCCTGAGGGAAACAGGCAGTGGCAGTACTGGACCCCCTGAGCTGCCAGTGAGACCCCCCACAGCAGCTGCATCTGTGTCATGGGCACGGCAGAGGGCACAGGGCACCCAGGTTGTCCCACAGCTCCCCACTGAGCAGGTGCTTCACTGGATGGCTGGGCAGGAGGGCACGGTGCCAGGAGGTGGCAAACAGGCAGTCAGGCACTGGCCTGTTCAGAACCAGACTGGATACAGGAGGAGGGAGGCAGCTACTCCTCACTTTGCAGGGGGCTGGATGCAGCAAGGGCTGCTCCTGGGACCACAACAGGAGAAAGCCCAACTGCTTCTAACCCCCAGCCAAGGGTATGAAAAAGCAAGGCTGGAGCTGCCCTGCTTGCAGGTGAGTGCTGCCAGGGGCTGTGGACATCAGCAACAGCCCCAAACCCCAGCAGGCAGAGTCCAGCCTGTGGGCAAGAGGAGCCAGGACCACCGTGTGCCGTGGCTGAGAGCCTGTGATGAGGCTGGCTGCAGGATGAGCAGCCAGGGAAATGCACTGGCCTTGGACTCAGTGCCACCCTGCCCTGTCAGGCCAGCAACCAGGAGCAGCACTGGCCCCCACGTGCCTCATTCCTGTCCCCCGGCTACTGTGATGGCCCCAAGCAGCACATGCTCCATCAGGCACCCACCACCTGCACATCCAGCCTTTGGCACCCTACTGGGGTGAGGGCTCATGTGGGGAGGGGACAGCCCTGCCACGGGAGGAGTGGCAGGGATGGAGCCCCAGAGCCCGACACAGTCACTGGCCAGGCAGGGCTGGGCAGAGCACACCCCTGGGGAAGGGCCCCGGAGAGAAGCAGCCCAAGGGAAGGTGTTTGCAAGCACAGATGCGGCTGACATGAGAGTTGGAGGTGATGGGCAAGCTGGGCAGGCTGACTGGGCACCGTACTCCCGAGGACCCCTAACACCCACATCCCTCCCATCCCTCCCCTGTCACTAACACAGACTGCCCATCACAGGATGAGCAGCAGTGCCCACGGGCACTTCTGTCCCCCACCCGGTCCCAGCCAGCCCCCCAGCCTGGAGCAGTGATGAGAGCTTGGGTTCCCCCCCGGGGTCCCCCTCGCACCCATCACCATCGCCGGCCCCCCGCCTGCGCCCCGGGGCTGGAGCTCCCTCCACACAGACGCACCGCACCGCACACACAGCGTCACAAACAACCATGCATTAAAACTGAAATGCTGCTGGGAGGCTCCGGGGCTGCGTGGGTTGCTCCGGTGTGGCTGCAGCCCCATGGCACGCGCGGCTCCGTCCATCGCACACAAACAGTCCTGGGGGGTGAGTCTAGCCGAAAATGCCGCCGAAGGTGGAGGCGATGACGATGCCCAGGATCACACAGCAGATTATGATCATGATCTTCTTCTGCTCAGGTGTCCCAGCAGCGGTGGGGAGAGAGGGGAGAGGGGATGGTGAGTGTTGGGGCAGGATGGACCCAGCAGTTCAGAACAGCAATCTGTCCTGTTCCCCTTTGCCCGTGGTGGGCTCTGAGCAACACCTTGGGAGCCAGAAGGGCCCTGGCAGTCCTGGACAGGGAGGGACATCCCTGCTCCTGCTTCTGCCCTGGGTTGGCAGAGCTGAGCTGGTGGCCTTCAGATCCCCAGGCTGATATGGGACCAGGACAGACAGCTGGCATTGTGCTCAGAGTCTGAGCTGAACCATGACCTTTCCCTGTTTTTATTTTGCAAGGGCTGTGGCTCTCACAGCATGCCTGGTCCAGGGGTCCACCTTGTCCCTTTTCCTCCCCACAAGCAGCCCTGCCCTATGGCTCACTGTCAGCTTTCACACAGTCTGTGCTGGGAGCTCTGCCTCAGCTGTGCCACCCTCAAGGCCTGGGCTGCTCCCAGTGGTGTGGGGCAATGTGGGCACCTGCAAAGCTGTGCCAGGCTGCCTGGGGCAGGCACGGAGCCAGGCAGGCCCTGTGCAGGGATGAGGTGTCAGCAGTGCAGGCAGGGGCAGATGGGCCCCAGCCAGAGCCGTGACTCACCCGCCTGGCTTTGCTCTGGTACTTCACCGCTTTTTTGGTGTCGGACACAGCCCGCTCCACGTAGTCCACCGAGTGCTCCACGTTGTACTCGATGCGGTCAATCATCTCTCCCTGCAGGGGGACACAGCCCGCGCGCCCACGCAGCCGTGAGCTCCTTCCCGCTCTGCCGCTCCCTGCCTCCGGGGGGATGCTGCCCTGCCCAGCAGCCCTGCACAGAGAGAAGCACCATCAGCTGCCTGCGGGCACTGGCTGTTTCCTGGGGTGCCCTGCGGGCTCTGGACTGCATGCCCCGTCCCAGAGGATCTCTGTGCACATCCCAGCAGGGACACAAGCAAGGGAGAGGGACAAGGGAGCTCCCAGCGCTGACTTGTCCAATATCTCAGGTGACATCAAAGCCCCAGTGGGATCTACACCAGCACCACACCACACGCTGCTGAAACAGGAGGCATGGCAGGGAGCAAGGACAGTGCCAGCAGCACCATGAGGGATGCCCAGGACACCACGCACGTGCAGGGACCGGGGACCACCACTCCCATCCACACATGCACCGCACCGACTGCAGGAGGGTCTGGAGCATGGCCAGCCAGGACTGAAGAGCCCTACAGGGACCCCTGCCCTGCTCTGCCCCTGCTGCAGGGGTAGGCTGGGAGTGGGGGCTCCTCTGGGTGTGGGGACACGAGCTGGGGTGAGCTCCTCCAGCCTTGTTCACCTCCTTTGGCCCCATCCTGACCAGGTTGGCAAACAGCCAGGTCTGCAGCAGCTGGACAGGGCTGGCAGGAGTGGGAGGTTTGGAGCCCTGTGTCCTCCTGCATGGCATGGAGGGAACTGATGCCACAGAGCCACGGGCTCATAGCCAGCAACTCTGCAATGCCCATTTCTCATCCTAATGCTGGAGAGCACAGGGAGGACAAACCTTGGGGCCTGGGGTGCTGAGCACTGAACCCCACCAACTGCTCC